TTTGTATTCTTTTCAAAACCATAAAAACACATACAAACATATATGAGTGTGTTTGTGGTTGTGTAAGCGTACGCAAAGGACTGTGTGAACTTTGCTTCATTTGGCTGCTTTCTTACTTTGAGCTTACGCTCTGAGGTTTGCGATAGAAATCAGCGGTTTAAGTGTTATAAGCAGACAAAAAGTCGCATAATTCTCACATAATTGTTGCGCGCATTCAAATCGCGTAAGAAGCTACAAGTTGCCAAAGATGAATGCCTCTTTATTGTTAAGTGTATTTTTCTGTATTTATATTTTATTTTGCTATTGTTTCCGTCAAGTCATTGACTGTGATTTGGTTTTGATAGAAATTCCGGCTTTTGAGTAATTTCCGATCGCTACTGCTGATAAGTGGGAAGTACAGTAGTTGCCGTGAATTTGTTGAGGACTTTTCGAATTTTGAATCTAGTTGACATTTGAGGTCAAATCAGAAAGGTACGTAGCGCACATATACACATATAATTGTTATTTTAATGCTAATAATCACTAATTTAGAGATTGCGCTTGTTTTGTTGTTGGCAAAAAGTAAAAACTTTGAACATCTTTGCTATCTAGCAATATTTCTCTACCTGGCAGTTTGTTACTAAAAAGTGGCATACTTTCAGCGGATAAATAAGAAAAAAATCTTCAAAAACATTTTCTTGTTTCAGTGTTCTAAAGTATGCTCAAATTAGCCGAATGCTATGATATACGACGAAAACTCCAGAAATAGCTGCAGCTGCCTTCTGCTTATGAACACACACACTCACACGTCACCAAATGAACCCATTTAGTGTATGTGTAAATAATAATTTCCTCAATTAGCAGCCCACAAACAGACTACTTATCCTGAAAATAGGTACACGCATATACATATGTCTATTTTATATATGTATACTTTAGGTATGTGCACAAACTTCTATATACATATGTAAGTATATGCAACAATGCATTTTCATGCCGCTGGCAGCTCACCTGCCTACCTAACACATTGCGGCACTACGCCTACGAACGCACGTGCTAAAATGCAGGCGCAGCTGTATTTTGGTTGTTGCATATGCCAGCGGCAAGAAGTTTAGTGAATGGAAAGCAGCAATATACAGTAGAAGAAGAAGCAAACTCTCTCAGCTTGAATAGATAATTCCTAGAAAATTCAGTCTGCTTACGATTAAACGTTCGCATACACAAGCATATTAGTGGGTATTGATGACCAAACTGCTGCTCAGCATGAACTTCCTGTTAGTATGTGTTTTCAGAAATTACATATGTATATGCCTACATGTACATATACACATATATATATAGTAGATAGGTAAATCTGTATGATTAAACTAATAAAAAGTAATTTTTTGATAAAGAAAAAACTTTTATACATATAAGAATTAATTAATAATCACCGGACGATGTACATCAAACTAGTTACTAAACTAGTTGCACCGTTATGCTGAGTCGAGTGTTATTTTCACAACTTGTTTTTACGGACCAGTTTGCAACTAGTTACTATATAGTAAATTTGCGATAGAAGCTCTACTATAAATGTAAGGAAAGAGTAAATAAAGTGGTAGGAATCGAAAAATGGGTTCTAAGTATATCATCTATTTCGAAATCAGCTGTTTAAATGTAAGCGCGTTAATATGAATATTTCTCAAAGGCCTTGGATCAAGTTTTTACAGAAATATAACACGATAAACCGTTGAATATATGCACAAATATACATAAATACCCACATAGCTGAGACAAAAGAGTTGTGCTAAGATTAATTAGTAAAAAAAAAACAAAATATAAATATTTAAGCCGTTTAGACCATGAAAATTTAAGCGCTTCAAAAAAAAGCACAGCATGGCCATAAAAATAAGTGGCAACAATTGTACTATAACAGTACAACGACCGCAATGCCAATGCTGCGCTTCCAGCTCTACAAACAGCGAGATGTTTCGACTAGCTAGAGCAATACATACAAACAGGCAAGCATCTGTATTTAAGTATTTCTAGCTGGAAGTTAATAGCGAGCAAGACGAAAATGAGTGTGGGCAGTGAGCAGCTGATGCGCCAACAAGCGAATAATAATAGGAAATTTCAGAAACAAAAACAACAAGAGCATTGTCTTTACAAAGACCTAGATAACGGCAAACTTCCAGAAAACCAAAAGAAAAAATAAAGTTGGAAAAAAACTGAAATAGCTGACTGTTGAAATTTTCTACAATTCCAAGCATTAGATACATACATATTATCGTTACTCACTACCTTCGATATTTTCTTTGTTATGCACCTTTTTTATTTTGGGTCTTGGGAAAAATATTTTATTTGGCCAAAGTGTCCAAAACACATACGGTTGATGGGTAGATATAAGTATATATATATATATACATATGTATACACGAAGGTATGCATATACATAAATAGATACTTAAGCCAAGAAAGGCAATGAATTTGATGAAATTGCGAAAAGCCAAAAAACACAAACTGACGGCGCAGCGTCACCGAGATGCCGCAGAGAGAAAGGAGAGAGGCAGAGCAGCGGCATGATGTTGAAAGAATTACAAAACTATACAAAATACATGAATGATCGTTACCGCAACTGCATATATACTTTTCTAAATACACACTTATCTACTGCTAACGATATATGTGTGCAGGAATGCATGTGTATGTATGCAGCCTCCTCAATCGAACGAGAAGCTATGAATAACGAAATGCACGAAAATATATTTGGAAGCCCTAAAAAGAATGCAAGCAGTACACATACAAACATATATGCATGTATCTTAAAGAAACTGCCTGAGAAGGCATGAAGACGCTGCAAGAACACACACACACACGTGTTTGTATGCGCTGACATGCCTTTGTGTGCATGCCCACATGCAGTCGTCAACTCTTCCAGCAAGGGAGGCGCGCATTCGAAAGGAAATGGTCTAATGGCGGCGCGAGTAGCGATGCCCAAGCGATTGCTGACTGGTGACTGGTGAGGCAGCAGCACCACAAACACACACGCACATAGATGTACATTTGTGTGTACAAACGTAGCAGTTGATCGACATGGGAGCACAGCAGTGATGCCTAAACATGGAAAATGCACAAACAAGAAAATCTAAGAAAATACCAGCGTGTGTGCGTGTACTGATGATGTGAATGATCTGCCAATCGGTCGTTTCGTTTGCGCGCTTGCCGCTTCAGCTGCCACACACAGATGCAGAGGCATGAGAAAAACCGAAAGAAAGTGCCAGCCAAATGAATTGCGCTGCGAGTATGCCCAACTAGCGAAGTTACAATAGAATTGTAATACAACAACAACAACAACACAGAAACAAGAGGGGGAAAACAATGAAAAAAGCAAAACAAGTATCATAACAATTCTTTCAACTCTCAACTCAAAGTGAATGAGGAAAAATGCAGAAATTCTTGCTGACTTGCCTTGCTTCAGATCGGTCGCGCAGGGAAATGAGGGTAGTGGAAATTTTCTTCAACTATGTTTTATTTTAATTTTTTTTCTGTGTTTTGATGGTTGCGCACAGAAAATAGCGAAAATTGAACTCTCTTGATGCAAATGCAAAAGTTATTGGATATGTGTATAAGTATGAATATGTTGTTTGTAAATAGTTTTGATTTAATTTAGTTAAGTGTTCTTAGTTTTTTGAACTATATACTTAAATAGAAATGTACCTAAACATATAATATTAAAATTACTTTTAATAGATATATGGAAAATGTTGCTAAGGAGGTTGCAAGAAAAAGTTTCTATACAATAACTTGATTTTGATCGATCAGTTTGTATTGAAGTTTTATGCTATAGTAGTCCGATCTGAACAATTTTTGCCACAATTCCAACATTGCCTTAGACAATTACCCATGCCAAATTTCTTGAAGATGACTGGTCAAATGAAGAGATCGATATCTGAACAACTGAGGGACTTAAACGCGTAAAAACAGACGGATTGATTCAGCTCGTTTTGCTGGTCATTTATATACTCGTATATATGCTTTAAGTTGACTTTAAGTTTAAGTTCTCAAATCCACAGAAAGCAACGTCAGTTTTGAAAGCTTTGTAAAACTCTTTAATCGAAATCGCAATTATGAATGAAAACGTGTATTCAGAGCACGTATAAGACAGAAAAACTGCTGCGTAACAGGAAATCTATTTCGATTAAATACAAAAGCCTTTTATCTAAGTTAGCAACAAATTGTTATTGTTTTGAATATCTACATATATCATTTTTGTTGCTGTTGGTGAATTTAATTTCTGTTTTCAACACTTTTTCGTTTTTCATTTATTTTGCAACGCACCAGCGCTGTTAGATACTCACTTACATTTAACTGTAAACAATTTTACGGTTATGTGCGTACGTATGTGCATGTACTGGTACATGTGGAGGTAAAATTTGACCTAAAAAGTTATCACAGTGCGCTGTTTTGCACACACCACAACAAAAAACAAAAAAAAAAGTAGTAAAAAGGTAACAACATACTCGTATAATATTCAGTAGATAAGCGTGGTTGGCAGTTAATTTTCGATTTTGTTGAAACACTTTTTGCTTTTATCAATTCAAATGAAATACGCAGCAGCGTAACAGGTAGTGTGTGTATGCTGAGGATAATAATGGAAAACTATGTGCGGCGTATATACACACATACATACACATTAAAAGTTTGAAAAAAACATGCGATTTACAATAACAAGAAGTACAGTTGTAAACAAAAATACTTGTTAACTATTTATAAGTCCTAGTGGGTGGCGTTAGACTACTTTGATGAAAAAAATATATAAAAAAATGAAAAAAATAATTTTATAAAAATATTTGTAAAAACGAGCAGCAAAAACTATTTTATGCAAATTTGTTATTAGTTTGAATTTTTTACGGTTTTAAGTTTTAACAGATTGAGCTTTATTTGGTACTTTTAGTATTTTTAAAACTCACATTTAAATTTTGTTTTGTTATTTTTTGCCTTTGTAAAAATCAACATTTATGGAATAAATATTTGCATACAAATTTACCGTTTTTTAATTTTTTTTACCTTGTTTATTAATTTCTGTTCTCGGCTTAGTAAAAATTATAAATTAAAGCAACTGATTTTTTTAAATATTGCAATGATATTAGACAAATAGAATAAGAGAACGATTTTAAATAGACTTCAGTGATCTCTAAGGGTCAATGAAGGTTTCTTCAGTGAGACCGTGAGTTAAATTTAGGTGAAATTTTGTAGAATGTTCTACAAAAGATCGGTAAAGAGAGAAACTATCTCTCATTACATGACTTGCTACCAAAATATGGCCTAGTATGTGCCACAGGCACCAGCGACAACACAAGAGTTCCCCTCACTATAGGAAATTGCCGACCCGTTGACCGTTGACAATTAAATTGCCATTTGTTTGATGTATTTCCCCCAAATTCTCACGATCACCCATACACGTTTGGAAGACAACGCTGGCTTCACGCCTTACTGTCCCTCCTTCGGTGCGGACCCACTACTCACCGCGTAAATAAACTTTTAATTTTCCGCAAACCAGTTGCATGGAAAAACTTTGAAAATTTTTTGGTACGCGAACGCTTTTCGAGCAACTCCGCGCCACCTTTTGCCCTTTGGACTTTCTCTCCTTTCGCCGCTAGTTCCGTATCGCATATCTCCACAATGCGAGTGCAAGTACAAGAACAAGATTCGGTTATTGTCGTTTCATATTCAATGTAGGTCACCGAATTTGTATGCATATTGTGATTTAGAATTCTTCTTGCTTTTTTCTCTGTTACTGCGAATTTTTTGTTTCCGAAATTTGGGACAAAAGCGAAAATATTTGAAATCGCGACGTAGTGTCTTTGCAGCAGCTAAGCGAGTTTGTTTTGGTTATTTTGCGTACTTTATGGCGTCATGTCACAGAGGAAAGTTCTTTGGAAAGACAATTTTTTCAAACTAAAAAAAAATTCAAAATGTTTACAAAGAAATTTGATAGAACAGTCAAACCAATGTTTGTGTGTGTGTTATGGTCTTGAGTTTCAAGCGACAAAATATATTAGTAGTTTCTTTACAAGAACAAGAACAATCTTAGTCAGCTGATTATGTTGGCTTTTTTTGGATTTCTGTAATATCTGATCATCTTATTCCCTCAATTTCATTTATTCCTGCTCCCTCTCTTTGTTTTCCTTGCCTAAGCCCTTTTACTATTTTAAGTGCATTTCATTCCACCCAAACTTTTTCGTCAATCGTCGCAACTGTTCTCTGTTTTGTTTTTTAACACCTTCTCCTGCTTCCTTCGAGTTATATTTTCCGCTGATGATCTGTTTTTCATGACTCGAGCGTCTTCCCTCTTCTTTCTTCTTCTTTGCAAAGCATCTTTTTCACTTTTTCCGTTCATATTTTTCATAAGAAATTCTTTATTGATTAATATCCTCTCCTCTTTCAACGTTTCCCAGGCAGAATCACAATCGGTTTTGCCCTTTATTTTCAAGTATTTTATTTTCTTTGTGAGTTTTTTTCCTTGGTTTGCTTCTGGTTTGCTTATTTGGTGGATCCCTGCAATATGAACTTTGCCTCTCCTTTTTTGAAACGTTGTTTCCTATGCTCTCTAAAGTTCGACGATCTCTCCGGTTCTTAGAGCTCAAATTTATTTCCGTTTCTTGTTGGTTTAAAGTTGTGTCTTTACTAGATTTTGTGCCATCTTGTGATGATTTGAGGTTTACCACATCGATTGGTTGGTTGTGATTTGTCAATAAATTCTCTGTTACTGCTTCTACAATCCTTTCATTTTTTCCAGTTAGATCATTTAGTGGCATATTAACTAGCGATCGCTCACTTTCTTCCGATTCACTATTTATTGACTTTTGTTGTTTTGATACTCTGTTACGTGTTGTTGTTTTTGAATGTTCCCAGTGAGCGTGTTCCTCTTCCGGTAAAGTTTGTGTTTGCTTAGATTGTACCGACTTTGTCCGCGCGGTCCACGGTACGATCATTGGCTGATATTTTAACAGTCTTTCATATATGCTTGTCGGATACTTAAATGGCTTCAAAAGTCGATTATCTAAATTGCTTCCTTGTCTATACTCATTCAAATCTGTAACTTCTGCTACATCTCGTGCATTCTTTATAGATTCATAGCCAATGCATTCTCGCTGATATTCTTGCCTTTTGCCTGCTGAATTCTGCAACAGGAACTGTTCACTGTCGGTACTTTCGCTAATAGTACTGAGCTCTGGACTTCGGCAAGTTGGGGAGTCTTCAATGGACTTAAAACTTTGAGGTAAAGATTGTTTCTTTCTATAAGGTTTTCTACTTCCATGTGATACTTTTTCTTCACATGGGCTATATTTTTCATTTGGATCGGGAGTATATTCATATAGGCGAAAACTGTGCATTTTCTGTTTTAATAATTGTGTTTCTTCCAAAAATTTTCTTTCCTTATAATATTTTTTGACTTGCTCGAAAATCATTGATAAGGAGTCTTGTAGTTCATCATTGTCGCTGTGTAACATCTCATTTGAGTGCGGTTGGCTATTTTCATTTAACAGTTGGTTCTCTAGTTCATCGTATTCTTTTAAGGATAAGGGATTGTGATCTGAGTTTTCTATGTCTAATTCATTTGACCGACGACCGAGTTTTGGTAACGAGTGATAATTTCTGAATTGCTTATACTCTTTCAAATCTTCGGCTAAACTACTCTCAGTACTTGTGCCATGATCGTTACCCCGATCTATCATGTTTTCAGGCAAACAATCAGACAAAGTGAGTTCTGGCGAACGTTCTTGATGCATTTCAATATCACAGTCTTGCTGAATTGGTTCGAATGAATCGATTTTTGTTATAGAAACATAAGAGCATTCATTCAAAGTTTTATCATTGTCGTACTGCTGGATGCTATCAGAAGACACAGTAGTGCCATATTTCTGCTGAGATTTTGTTTTTTGAGAAAAACTTTCGCATGAACAATCAGAATATTTGGTGGTTGTTTCGGTTTCTTTAACCGGTTTTGTCGCTTCGAAGAATTGTGTTGATTCAACTTTTTCGCAGTTAGCATTTTCTTGTGAAGAATTCGGTACATTTATTCTAATACCTGACTCAAACGTTTTAAATTTTGCCCCTAATATATATGAACTGGAAGGCATGCTTCCTATACTGAGCTCTGGTTTCGGTGAACGAATGTCACTCTCTTGATTTGATACAATTATCTTATTTATTGATGTACTTAGAGATTGTTCTACTGTTGGCTGTATACTTTGCGGTATTTGTACAGATATTTTACTACTATGTTTTCGTTCTAAGTCCGAGTTTTTTGAAATGACGTTTTCTGAAAGTTCTAGCACCGGGTTTTCATTGGTGCATTCCGATAATTTGTCATTGTCTTTATATTCCTCTTTGTTTAATTCAGTTTCTAAGTATTGTTGGCTTTCCTTTACAATTTTCATTTTATTATGTTTTGGTTTCGGCTCGATCGGGGGTGGAGTTTTCGTTTTTGAACTGTACTCCTTAATACCTGTCTGTGATATTATTTGAGAATCTTTTGGATCTTCAACTTCTTGGTTTGAATGCTTTTCTTCTACACTGCTTTGACTTGTCCCTGATGATGGACCTATCTGGGACACTCTTAACAATTTGTATTTTGAAGCACTTTCTATAAATGGTTTAATAATTTTGGTATCTTGACCACTGTTTGAACTTGTTTTTACCGCCACTCTTGGTGTTTGCCTTCGCTTTGTCACTGGTATCAGTGAAGGTTTGGTGCCTTTTTCTTTTGATTTCGATTGATGTTTTCTATATCTATACCAGCTTTTGTCTAACTCACTTTCTTCGCTCTTTCCATTAATTTGCGATTTTGTTTGTTCGTGTGAGTATTCTGAGGAGCTTGTGGTGTCTTCTACTGTCGAATTAATTGTTAGATACTGATTATTGGCGTAATCTCTCGCTGACCTTTGATCTGAATGAATTTCTTCAGAGTATTGTTCCGGAACGTGTGTTACCTTTCGCTTTTTACTTGACTCTCTCGTTTGGAGTTTTCTTGTAATACTACTAGTATCGTCTGTGTCGCTGGCTTTTGGTATTTTCAATATAGTGCTCTTTAGAGATCTCCATAATTTGGGAGTATTTCTGTCATTTCTGTTACTTGTAGTCGCCTCTTCTGGCAAAGCGCGCTGTTTTCGTTCTGTACGTTCTCCAAATGAATACGCTTTTGAGGTAGCTGGTTCTTGTATTACTGATCCTTGCATCAGTACCTCTTTTTCATAATTCCTATGCGGAAATCGTGGTATATGTTCTGCAGTTTTTGATGTCTTATGCATTTTGAGCGTTTGGGTTGCCTTCTGATCCACATTGTGTTTGCTGTTATTATTTGCGTCACATTCACAAGGGCGAGGCTCAGATTTCATACGTAGGACTCTACGTTCTTTGACACGCAACAGTTCTAGTTTTGGGGTTTCTACTCTTTTCGGGGTTAATCCGTGTGACTGACAATACTCACATAGGAAGGGGGTGTCGTGGCAGGAATACTTCTCCATAGTGGGCTTTATTACACTGTTGTAATTTTTGTAGGGAGCAGCGTTTTATTCGAAATATTTTGCAAACAAACGAATTCGAATTCTTTCACTTGCCACGAACACCAGTTCCTTGCTTAAATGTTTTGGATTATCATGAAAAGTTACGGTACTTTACGAATTTAGGATCTCAATTTTTAAGTTTGAAAAAAATAAAATGAATTTTATATGGAACCTGTCAGGACTAACAAAACAAATAGACTTGTCTATATGATTTAGTAAAATTCTAATAATTTTTTGCAGGTGTTTTGCGGTTATGCGAGTGTAGGATTCATATACAGCGGTGGGCCGGGGTACAAGTGTAGTTAGTGACATTAGGAAGCTTATTTTCTTAAAGACTTTAATGGAATAAAGTGTAACATATAACTTGATCCAAAAAATGTAGTTTAGAAAAAACAAAATATTTATATATATATATACAAGAATTATATCATCTTTGTAGAAATTCTAATCTATGAAAAGTTTCAGTGAATAATTTATTTTAAATATGTTTGTTGTAATAATTTTATTACATTTTTTTTCAATTTCTATTTTTAGGGGTCAGATATTTTTCTATATGACCTACAAACAAAAAATTACCTTTGATATTTCATTAAAACTTCACACACACATCAACTACAACACAATTTTCACAACAACAAAAATCAATAAACAACAAACAACAATAGGCGTAAAAATTAATTTTTTTCTAATTTTTGAAAATTAATTGCACAAGTTTTTATATAAACAATTTTTTTTTAATTTTCACGCTTAAGAAAACAACAACACAAGAAATTTTACGAATAAAAATTCTTTAATAAAATTTTGTACTATTTATAAGTAGAGGCAGACAGCGAGTGAATTATTAAAATTATTAACGTCTCAAAGGTCGATATATTTAAATTATACACAACAACAACAATATAAAAACAATAAGTAATTGATTGGTCAAACTATTTGGAAAAACAAAGTAGCATTCAAAAATTAGTCAGCAAAAATTATTTTACTAAAAACTTACAACAACAAAAAGTTAATATTATTTAACAAAGAATTTAACTGAGATTTAGAAATATAAAACGAATAAAATCAGCTATTTAGGTTTGCAAATTCAGTCAATGAATGTGTATTACCTAAATTTCAATTAACAAATCCGTGGAAGGAGCAGTAACAATGCAATTGTTGTTGTACAAATGGCAGTAACTGCTGTTGTTGTGCTGATTGCCAAAATTACAAATTATGGTTGTTGTAACGAATTGTTGTTTTAGTTGTTGTTATTGATTTTGTTGTTGTTGTTTAAATTTCGTTCTAGTTTCTGAAGTGCAAATTATTATAACGGTATACAAGTATTTAGTGAATATAGTGTCACTTCACCAATTACACACACACATGGAAATTGAGAGAGCGGATTTTTTGTTGCCTCAGGTGGGCTTTGTAAGTAATTAATATGTTTTTGGTGTTTGAATTTAAATACTTTTATTTTCTAACTTCGTTATTTTTTCGATTTACAATTTATTTCGTATTTCTTACGGCACAGTAGTGGAAAGTATTTCATATATTTTTAAATTAATAAATAGTTAACAATTTTGTTGGGCCAAACTTACTTTTTGGAATTGCGTTTCGTTGTTTGTTTCGAAAACATGGGAATTTTGTCAACAATCAGTTGCATCGCTCGAAAAAACACACATTAACACTGGCTTTTTTGCGGCCGTTTGCACCAATCAATCACCACACCGAAAATGCTTCGACAATTTACAATACACTGCTTTCGATGTTGTTGTTGTTTTTTACAATAAATGGTGTTGTTCTAACTTTTCTTGCTGTTTTTGTTCGCAATTTGTTTTCAAAGAAAAATTTGTTCGCTTACACGTTTAATTTTTAGGAATATGTGTTGTTGTAATTACTTAATTTTTTTGTTTTTGTTTTGCAATAATACTGTTGAAGTGTTGAAAATCCTTTCGAATTACATTTGAGTTGAGGAACTTGGAATTTAAGTTGATTTCGTCGTTATCTTTTCGCATGCATACACTTAAATCTTTCTGCACTATTTTGCGAATGCTGATTGTTATTGTTTTTGTTGTTGCCGTTGCTGCTGTTTACATTTTATGGCTTATCTGCTACTGTTGCTGCTCGCTCTAGTCAGCTTGCACGTGTTCTTTTGTTGCTTGCAACTTATCGCTCACACAGCTACTGCCTGCCTGAGTGTGTGTGTGATCGCTCAGCGTTGTGGTGCGTGCTGGCGTTCGTTGAGGAATTCTTGCAGCCAGCAATTTCATTTACGGCATAAACGCTGAACCAACAACGGTTTGGCGAGTTTTAATTGTTGCTAATACAATTATATTTTTTGCGCAGAAATTAATTTAAATTTTTTTTTTGTTTTTCACAGTTTTTGTTTTTGTATTTAAAAATTATATTCTGTCACACTTTCGCGATTTTTTGCGCTCATTCACAATTTTGGTGCTTGTATTTGAATTTTTTCGATTTTGCCACAATTTCAATTATGCGCATTTTTTGTCTAAAAATTGTTTTTGCTTTCGCCTAGCACTAGCTGAGTTTTAGTTTTTGCTCAAATTTAATCACTTAACACTCTAATGGAGTGTGGCTTAGTAGAGTTGCGGCTTATCAGCGTAAATTGTGCGTTGCTGTTTTTGTTGTGATTTTTTTTTCAATAAAATTTCTGAGTTTTATGTTTTCGCCAAAATTTTGCAGCAAGAAAAAGTTATTGCAAATTTTTTTATAAATAATTTATCTACTTCACAATGTTTGTTGTTGTTGTTTGAAATATTTTTTGTGTTGCCAGCACTTTTTATTGCATTGCTCCAATTTTTCAACTGTCAACTGGCTTTTTTGCTATTGTTAGATTTCTTGGCTTTCGTCAAACAAAATTTCACCGCTGTCGCTTGCAAGACAAACACTACACCATTTGTTGTTGTTGTTTTATTGTTTTGTTGTGCAAATCACTCGAACTCGAACCGGTTAGCTGTAAAATATTTAATTTGTTTTTGTAACAATTTTGTTGACTGCTGCAATTTTTTGTCACTTGCACTTAAATTGAATTAATTTTTCTCCGTTTTGTGCATAAAAAACTTTCACAATTTAGTTTTGTTTATTCTGCTTCAATTGCTTTGCACTGTACACTAGAGTTTATGAATTTTTGGAAAAATTTTTAGTGTTTCCAAAATATGTTGTTATCACTCGAAATGCTGCTCAATTGCTGCACACAGCTGTCACATTGCTGGAATTGATTATTAAATTAATTTGTAATCAATTACCATTTAATTTAATTAAGAATGCTTAAATTGTTTTTGCTGTTTATTTTTTATTCTTTTTTTTATCAGTCAAACGCCGTAATCCAATGTGCTAGCGTTGACAGCGCGCTTAATTGTTTCACTTAATTTTTATTAATTCGATCCAAATATTTGCTAATTTTTCAATTAATTAATTTAATTTATTGTTTTGTGAATTTCTAGTATATTTTCACTTGTTCACGTCTTTCACAAATTACTTGTTTGCTGTTTGCAAATTACTGCATGGATTTTGTGTTTTGTTGTTTATTGCCGCGTCGCGCGTACGTTCAAGAAAACATGACGACATTTGACAGCAGCCAGAAAGGAACTAAACTTCAATTTGCGGCCGAACTAACAGCGACAGCACAAAACTCGAAACTAAAAACTGCTTCTGCTAAATGAATCGCTTGGCCGTAGTACTGCTGGCTGGCCGTTCGTGCGCTACACGTTCGTTTGCTCGTACGTACGTTCGGTTTGGTTTGCTCGTTGCCTCAGCGCTACGCCGCCGCGACGGCTGGCTGCCTACATCAAGGTACGAAAGTATGTATGTTTATACGTAGACTGTTATGGGGTGCTGTTCACTCGTTTGCGCGTCTCGGCAGCGCTCGCTTCATTTTCAATGTTCATAGCACATACACACATATAGGCTATATATAAATAAATTTATATGCGCATAACTCTGTGTGAGCGCACTGAATGTAGCGTTTGGCTCTGCTAGCGCGTCACAGCCGCTAACCGCGCTCCCTAAGCACCTTTCCGCACGCTGAGCGCCCCTTTTGTTGAAGCGTCAGCGAAGACAAGCAATACAAAAAATTAAAAATTAAAATATTGTGAGAGCGTACATCGCCGCGCTGGTTGTTGTTGCATGCGATTTGAGTTTTACTTTGGCTGTGTGCCTCTCACAGATATCGAGCGCTCACATGCACATACGCGCGTACAGCTGGTCTACCTTTCTAACACACACGCGCGTGAGCATGTGTGGTATGTGTATGCGTCGGTTAACGAGCGTAAAGCGCCCATACAACCGCAGAGTATTGCCAGCTAGCGCGTGCATACGTTTGTGTTTGTCGTCCGCGCTGCTGGTACGTTTGCATATCTACATCTATGTAGGTGCGTGTGCTTGTGCATGTTTATTTCCCATGTGAAATGTTCGTTGGCCCTGTGACGGTGACGGCGATCGCCTCGCGTTGCGCCAGTAGTGACAGCACTCGCAAACAACACAACGTCGTTAAGCACACATTGCAATTGCGTCGGTGCCGCGCTGTTGGCGTTGCGCGCGCGTTGCCAACCTGTAAGCGCCTTCCACCCTCTAGCCTCTGGCGCTGTTATTGCCTCTGTTGATGTCGACTCAGTGCGCACACACTCCCCCAACAGCGCACCGCTGTTGCCCTCACGCGCTTTACATTTTGCTCTTCATAACTTTTTCGCTGGCTTTTACGTTCGCCATGCTTTTTATTTCGATTATTATTTTTCATACACGTTTGGCTGGCTGCTGTCAACGAGCGTGCACATTTTTTCTCGCCGCGCCGCGCCGCTCCGCCTTCTGGTGGCAGCGCTGTGTCGCTGTTTGTTGAGTTTTATTAGCGCAGTAGTAGTTGTTTTTTGATTTTGCTGTGCTGCTGCTGTTCATATCTCGACTTCTGCTTGTTCTGCTCTTTTGTCTTCTGCGCGTTTGCCTCTGCTTTGCTGCTTGTGTTGATTTATTTTGAAAACGTTTGCTGGCTGACTTCATATTATGCTTTCCTGTGTTGTTGTTGTTGTTTACGACTTTTTATATTTTATGCTCTGCTTCTTCGCCTTTGTTGGCCATCAACGCCGCAATAGCAGTCAGTCAGCCAGTAAGTCGCACGCGCGTCGTTTCGGCAGCATTACTCAGTCATCAAACCTTCGCTGGCACACACACTTGTACATACCTTATTTATGTTGAACCACTGTGCGCCCCTCTAGCCCAAGTTTCTTATCGTCATTTCGTTGGATTTCTGTGCATATGTGTATATGCGTATAATTTTTGTTTCTTATCCGTCGCCCCATTACACACACACTGTATTTACATGCACTCACACACACAAATATGTGTAAGTACATCGTCGCTGTCAATTGTCACCGCTCCTGTCGGCGCTACCAATGCCTGGCCTTCCTGTCGCTCCCAATTTTTCGCCTGCTCACACTCGCTGCGCGCACTCTCTTTTCGGCCGTTCATCCCCCACCGTCCGCTCATCGACGACAGCGTGTCAGTTCCATTTCTGCTTAATGTAATAATTACACATGCATATGTCAATTTGTTTGTGTTTTATTTTTGACACATTAAATGGCTCTCACACACATTTGCTCTGGCTGTGCCTCCAGCTGGACTCCTCTTTCCACTACTCTCTTACATTTTTTCCGATATGTTTTTTTTTTTCTTATTACTACAGTTTTTCTTCTTCAAATGGCATTCTTTGGCTGTAATGCTTACTATTTTTGGCATTTATGTATACGTTTATCCAGCCCTCTGTGTATAACCCCTCTTCTCCCTGCCCTGTCTCACCATATGGTATGGTATTATGGTGTTCTTCCTCTCAGCACCTTTGGTGAATTTCTCGTCAGCATTTTTGTGGCACATTGTTGCCACTTTTTCATTGCTTCACGTTGTTGTTATTGTAGTTCTTTTAGTTTGTGTTTTGGTTTTTTCTTGTGTTCGGCTGTATTGTAAGTTGTTGGCTTTGTTGGTTTATACATTTGGTTTGATGGCGCTCATACTTTGTTACAACAAACACACTGGCATGCCCACACATATGTGTGTTTGTGGTTCGTGCGCGCTCGCGTATGTGTGTGTTGAGATTTGAATAAAATTAAATGTTGATTTACGCTTTTTAAGTGGCAAACTGACAGGGTGGCATGTTAAGTAGCGTTTGGCGTTGATAGGGGCGGATTTTTAGCATAATTTTGTTTGCTCGGCATTGTGGTTGGTTTTTCTTGTTGTTGCTGCTGTTTGTTTGTATTTGCTCCTTTTCCGAAGTATACTGTAAGTATGTTTTGGTCTACACGCAATATTTGATACAGTCCCATGTTGGTGGTTTGTATCAAGTAAGTGCGAAAGCCAAGTTAATGATTAATAAGTGAACTTTTGGGGGCAGTTTTGCGGCATCGGTGTTGTGATTAGCATTGTGGGATTTATTAATAGTAATAACACTGGTTTGAGAAGTTTTTTTTGGGTTTGGCGTGAATCAAGAATATGATTAAATCATTACATTAATGATGTACGGTTGCGTAGACATTTAAGGAGCTTGAAGTTAGGGTTCCTTGGGGCCCTCAGCTAGTTAATATAGCATTCTTCCGTACTATATTGCTCACTATAAGTTTCCACACGCCTTCCTTTTTGAATTATTCTCAAATACAAACATTTAATTAAGCAAAAAAAGACTACACAATTTTCAAATATCTCGAAAATACGACAAGCAAGAAGGCACCAGAAATTATATAATCTTCAAAAATTTCCAATTTTCTTGCTTGTAAACATTTGGAAACCAAGTGAGGTTTAGAAAAGGTTTTCATAAATAAAAAACTATCATTAGAACATAATCTCTACAAGCAAGTCCCCGTATGAGCAAAAACAATAAAAAACATATATTTCTTAAAAAAAATAAAATAAATAAATAAAAGAAAGCTATTTTATTTTTGAATTTTTTGACCAACTTTTTTCAAGTTTCAGCAAAAATAGTTCACAAAAAAATTTAAGTAAGATTTAATTTTAATTTTCATATATCCAAAATGTCTTACAGTTTTATTTTATTTTTTTTCATTATTATTTTGTTATTTATTAGTGGCGAATAGTTTTTCTATTTTCTTATATTTTTGAAGTTTTTTAACGTACACTATTTCACGTTTAATTTAATGTATTAAGAAAAATTTAAGGTAAATAAAAGTCATTTGTTTTCACGTTTTAAAATTTCCTACAGTTTTATTTTTTTTTTCTTTATACAAAAATTTATTTTGATATTGTTTTTGCTTAATAATTTGTTTTTATATATTTTTTATTTTGAATTTTGTTAACCGAATTTATTGCACGTTTCATATAAAAAATAAAATTTTTTAAAAATTTGAAGTATTTAAAATTATTTGTTTTTTATTGATTATTTTAATTTTTTATTATTATTATTATGATAGTTATTATTGTAAAATAATTTATCAATTTTCTTATATTTTTTAAGTTTTTTTAAATTACTAAAAACATTAAGCAATTAAAATTAATATTATTATTACTATTTAAAAAAATTTTGTAGATAAAATAGTTATTTTTTAATTTTTCTACAGTTTTATTTTATTTATTTTTATTATGACTGTATTTTTTGTTTGATATTTGTAATTGGTATTGTTTGATTTTATTTTTATTATTTATTGTTGATAAATAATTTAGAAACAATAACTTTTTCGGTAAATTTCAATAAAAGATGCTCAACACTTTAACAATAACTGATGTAAGATTTATTTATTTATCTGTATATATATATTAAAAATTATAATATTAAAAACCAAAAAAACTTGTATAATCTTTAAAATATGTTACCAGAATAGCAATAAATTATTTTGAAATTGATAAAGTTATCTTAAAAAAAATTTAATTTGTGTTATTAAATATTTTACATTTTATGTGTTAACAGAAAATTATAAAGTTAAATTGAAGTGATTTGATTAAAGCAAAAATAATAATAAAATCAGCTTCGTTAAATAATAATCATCAAAAGTCCAAATTATCAGTCAAAAAATTTCGAGATATTAAATTATCTCATTTGAAAACAAATTTCACGTACAAAAGCAAACAGGCTGATGAAAAGAGCAATTTCGCAATTCAAGTTAACTTCTAACAAGATGGTAACTCAATATATTTCCTGTACACACTTATAATATTCATTATCTTCTGATTTTTACCAGAATATATATTTACTATTTTCGTAAGCACATACCACAGATGAGTCAGAGGAATCAATCAAAAATTATCACCGAAACAAGTTAATTAAAATGTCGAATGCCTAAAAATCACGCCGAAAATCAGTTGATAAAGTCATTTCGTACTTTTCAAAAGTGACACATAATTAATTCGAGCAAATTAAAGCACTTCAAAAGTCAAATGTTTGATTAATTTTTTCATATGTACCTAGAATCTACTTCAAAAATGTTAAGCATATAAATAAAACATTTATTAATTACCCACTTAATTATCGCTCAATTACTTAAAAGCGCATCGAATTACCTCAACACACTGCACACCAACAAAACAAAATACACAAATATCTACACAAAATCAACAACAGCAACAATAACAACAACAATGCAAAGAAATCAAGATACACAATCTAGCACTCGTATAACACCACACACAATGCGAAGCCAAACAGAGTAGAAGAGCAGAGTCACTCAACACAACATTAAACATTATTTATCGCCTCTTTTGTATGCGCGTTGATACGCGACAGACAAGCACACACACATTCAAACATACATACATGTGCATATAGAGACAGACGTACGGACGGTTAGACAGGCCAACAAACCGAATCGAACAGATTTGTGCCTACTTGACGGTAGTTAGGCAAGTATTCGACAATATATTTGCGTTACTGGGCAGACAGACAGGCTGAAAGGCAAGGTGAGCAAGCGGCGCGCACACAGCTAAACGCGACGCACAGCGAGCGCTGCAAAGACCAAAGTCGACAGAAAGGCCGTTGACAAAAATCGCACGAAAAACAAGCGGAGAACATTTCAAAATCCAACCAGAGCAACAAAAAAACCGAAAAATTGCGCTTATGCTTGTGTGTGTGCGAGTGTATGCGCCCTTTTCGATTCATAAAAACCAAAACTGAAAAAATCCAACATCAAATTCGAAAAGCAAGCGCACTCACGCGCCTCTACAGCCATCCGTTCGTCCGTCCGTCCAGTCGATCAACCCACCAAACCACCAACCAACCATCCATGCACCTACGAAATATCACGCTCTCACTCTCTGCTTACCAGCCAGCTATGACCACTTCTGACCTCGTATGTGTGTATGTGTGTGGTGTATGGACTGTCCGCAATTGAATATCTTTTTTCCGCTTTAGTTTAATTCTCCTTTAATAATAACATTAAACAATTTAATCTGTAAGCATATCAGTTGCTAACACCAACATTAACAGCAATACAAGCAACAACAATGCACGCACACATTTACACAAAACACACAAATACAAATACATATGCATGACGTAGAATCACTTTATGTATGTGTATGTGTGCGTTGTGCCCCTTGAGGCATGCTGAACCACCAGTGTTAGCAACAACGTTGTTGCTGTTGTTGGCGGTGTGGTGGTGGTGTTGCAAGCAGCCACTGTTGTATGTCACACGCAGCCGAAGTACATATCATCAACCGAATCGGATACAAAACCAAAAGTGCACAAAAATCCACTCCCAATTTATCACTCAATTAGCACGCAAAAATGTAGTAAATTTACTACCATTTGACATGAAGAGTCACACAGTCAGTCAGTTAGTTGGTTGCTGGAGTGTAAAAGCCAAAAACAAAATACTGCAAAATGTCAAAAAAAAAAATAAGCAACGAAGATTAAAGCAGGTACGTTTGCTTGTGTCAATGGGAGAGAGATAGTTTTTCGGAGAGATTAAGGTGTTGAGTGAGAGAGGGAGTTATAAGCGCTGTATGACATAGCCGTGTAATATCATTTACTACAGCTATAAACGTAATAGGCAGTAAGCGCGTTGCTCTCTCGCTCACATCAAATGCCTGCCAACAGGCGCGTGAGGCGAGAGATCTAGATTACCTCAGTTTCTCGCCTTTAACACATTTCGGCAGCTATTGAATGACGTATTACGGGCGATTTGTAACCAGTTTTCAAAGGCAAGAGCGCCAGCGAGAGATAAGTAATTAAAAAAGTAGTAGAATTGGTAACAAAGGTAGTAAAATCATACGAATTTAGCGTATAGCGTAGTGGCAGTGGATATTGTAGTAAAAATGTACTCAACGACGTTTCTTTCATATACATTTTGAGTACTACGCTGAGTTGTCTCTCTCGCCTCTCACTGCAGAGTTGCACTGCAAGCTACACACGCTGATAGCAATGCTGACGAGCATATGCGCTTTATGCTCTTATCAACACACATTTGCCTCAACAATAATAACAAAAGCAGCAGCTGTTTTACACCACCGCACTGCAGAGGCTGCACTCAGTCATCACCGTCACTGAGCAGGAGGCAAAGCCGAGCCGAATGTCGGCCACAAAAGCAGATGTGCTTTAAGTTCTTTGTGTGTGCGAGCCATTGTGTGACGCCGAAGAGATTTTGACATACTGCTTGTGTTTGTTGTTTCTCGCTCACCGTGCGGGGGTGCGACGGGCGTGTAGGCTCAGCTCAGCAGTGAGCAACTCCATAAGTGAGCGTTCGTAATCGTCCATAATTCCCGTTTCAGCTTCTGTGCCTGCTCTCTTTTAGCACTTCCGCACGTCACCTGCCCTCCGCCAAAAAAACATGACACTCGATGTTCCCTACTAGTAACCGTGCTCATCGGTGGGTTCCAGCTTCGTGGCTGCGGGGTGAAAATTATGTTTTATTATTTGTCGTTTGAACTGTCGGTTCTCTGGGTCGAGTGTTTTGCCATATTCATATCTAGTTCGCCATAGTTGAGTCCTGCGCATCGCACTGAGCGTCGTTAAACGCAGTTAATGTGTTGTTGTTACAGTTGTTGCAGCTCGGTCTTACAAACGCTAAACAAAGGCAAAAAAGAATAATAAAAAAAAAAAATAGTGAAAAAAATCAGCGCTGTTGCACGATGACTTGGCGATATTATGCGCGACAGCTGTTGTTTTTGTTTTTATTTAGCTGAGATCTCCCTTTATGCCTACTTATGCGACCATTGTTGCTTTTGCTACTGCGATTATGACGTTGATGAAAATGCGTTATACGCCGGTGGAGGTGTGGATTATGAAATGTTATCCACACTTTCTTGTGTTACAAATTAGGGTGAACCATAATTTGATTTTTTTTAATTTTCCTACTCCAGTTCTCACCGCTGTAATAGGTAACTCTTTCCATACAGAGAATTTCGAATTATATACTGCTAACGCGTTTCAAAGTTCTTCTAC